GGCCTTCCAGCCGCAGAGGGACGCAACAGCCCCAGCGGAAACAAGGTGCGACCGTCCTGGGACCCGGCCCTCCTCACACACTCCGGGCAGGACGCCAAGGGGTTGAGGGAGGCCCCTCGGGCCCTCTGGGTTCCCCTGCACTACAGAGGCTGGCCCGATGGGGGCGCTGCCTGGGAGCGCACCCGCGGCTGCTCAGGTGCTGGTGAGCACTGCTTTCTGCGCAGCAGCAGATGTCTGAGGGCAGACGTCGATCTCTGCGCCCTCCTGGTCCACCCTTCCCCACAGGCATGGAGAGGGCACACAGCTGCCACTGCATGTCCAGGATGGTGAGAGCCTGGGCGAGGCCTGGGGGCCGGCAGGCCAGGTGCCCTCGGGCTGGTGTGCTGGTGGAGTGGGGGCCGCAGCACCCTGGGCCCCCAGGGGGGACATCAGGCCTGTGAGGAGAGAGGGAGGCTGCTGCCGGCAGGAAGGTCTCCCGGGGCCACCTGGGGCCAGCTGGGGTGAGTGGTTCTCTCGACCCACAGGTGTAGCCCCAGCATTGCCCTACGCTGAGTGGCCACCATGCACACCTGTGCCCAGGGCTAACACACGTGACCAGGCCACCCGCCGTGCCAGTACGGGACCTGCTGCCCACGCCTGGGGCCTGACACACACCCGCCTCACCACCCGTGTGCCTGGGCCCCACCCACAGGTCTGGCTCCCACCAGATGGTGCTCTCGGCCCTCCAGGATCCTGACAGGTGCCCAGCTGGAGCTCCAGGCAGAGGTTCGGGGCCCTTGGGGCTGGGCATCCCACATCTGCTATGACTCCACGGATGCCCTACACCGTGTAATGCAGAGCTCATCTGTACCTGCAGGCCCTCACGCAGTTCCAGGCTGGCCCTAGAGCTCTGTTCCCGCCGGGGGCTGCCTGCTTCCACAGGGACTCAGTGGATGGCCCAGGGTACGGAGCCACCTCCGGCTGGAAGGGAACTCTGTAACAGGCAGCGCCCGGGGGCCGCGTGCATCCTTTCTCTTGGACACTGTCTCGTGCTGTTGAACATGTCATTGCTTGGTCTCCTGTCCCCTGCTTCCTGCCCCCGTTCTTTCTGGGGCTCCGGGACTGCTTCTGGGGTTCCTTTGGCTGCTGGAGTCCCACAGGGGGTCCCGGAAACAGGAAATGACTTGAGGCTGATCCCACTCGACACAAAGGCTGGCCATGGGCTACGAGTCTCTGTGGGGAAACTAAGGCTCAGCGTGGACATGGTTCGGCCAGACCCTGCGCCTGCTCAGCCATGCAGCCTTGAGCTCCAGTGCAGGGTGGGCAGCACCTCTGCCCGCCTGTGCCTCCTCAGCTGAGCCCAGCGCGGGGACGGGCTGTGGCTGGTCTTCAGGAGTCCCTGCCAGGTCTGGGTGGCCACGGGGCAGCCTCCTTTGCGGGCCAGGTCACCGGGCCCTGGGTGCCGCCCTCCAGGAACCTGCGGGTCACGTGGCACCCTTGCTGTGGCTCCGGCTGGGATTCTCTGACCCTCCAAACCCAGAAGTGTGGAAAGGGCGATGAGCTGCGCCCCGACAGCGGGGTGCGGGGTGCGGGCTGCGGGCCCCAGCGCCTGCGTAGTTTAAGGACGGGACACCCGGGTCCCCCAGGACCGAGTCGCCCCGACTCCAGGACCAAAGCAGGTCCCATTCCACGTTCTCTTCTCCAAGCTTCCTGGGGAGCAGCCGAGCGACCCCCGCCTCCGGGCAGGCAGCTGAGGCCGAGGCTACGCCCTCGCCCTGGACCCGCGCCCAGGCCACCCCCGGCCCCAGGGCTCAGCCGCTCGAACCCTGACTCCGCCCCGGCCCCCGG